TGATTTATGTTATACACCCAAGTATCAGTGGTCAAATTATAATATTTCTTAGTTAAGTCCGAGGTCGAACCCACATGGAGCTAACTTTCGGTATTCAAAATAGAAATGGTAAAATTATCATGTGTGTAGTGTGCAACGTAACAGCTTGTGGTGTGAGCTTAGAATTTTTAGATAAATATTTAACTAAAACTTGGAAAAACAACAATAAAAAGGTACTCTTTAGTGCAAGGATCCAACATGCTTTATACTGCCTATTTATGAAAATGCCATGTTACAACAATTAATTTCCATTTCACTTGAAAGCTAATTGGTAGGTTTGATGCATAATTGAACTATATCACAACGACTGATTAGGTTAGCTGGAAATTCTATGTACCATGCATCAATCAAATAATCCTAGTAAACTCGAAGGTGAACCATTTTGAAGGTTTACTCCTGTTATTCAATCAGCAGGTTGATGATTCAATGAAGGCGGAGTTTCGATTTATGCATTGAACCAAAAGCATTGACTATGACCAGATTTAACTCGTCTATAACCAATCTCCTGACTGTTACATAAAGCCCAACTACATGCATTACTGTATCATGCATGAAATACGTAATAATAATAGATAGAATGATATATATCAATAGGCTTTGCTCGATGTTCATAACCATGAGCATATTATAAATGTAGCCATCCATGAATTAAGTGAGGTCTAAACATTAACGCATAAATAAAACACTGGCATTTTCATAACATAAAGAGTATTACACATGCATTCACCCTTCACTGAAGAATATAAATGGACTACTCATGCCTCATTGCTATAGATGAGTAAAAGGAGTGACATGATTCCATTACAACCACAAATAAAATACAACATGTTCTTTTACGAGGAATAGCTGAAACACTACCACTCTTGTTATCAGCAAGGGAACAAAAGTGAGCGAGGTTCGACCCTCCAAGTAGAAAGGATAAACAAAAATATAGAAGTAGAGAAAATTCTGCTAGGAAATGATTATGGCAGGGCTCCGCTTGTTTTTTGACTGAAACACTCATTGAACTCTCCCTTTCTCTCTTTCTTTCCTCTCCTTTCTTGCACTGGACTGAGTTCCCTTGCCATCCCCTAAAAAATGAGCTGGCGAGGGCTATTTATAGGCACCAATAGAGGATTGTAAGGTGACAGACACCTTGGCTGACCAATGGGGTGCTTGTGTTGCTTGAATGGACCAATGGAACATGAGAGAGAGTTGAGGCAGTTTAAGGACCATCCAGACGCCATCACCACTATCCGGACAATGGCAATTCTCTAGTTTCCTTGCTTAGCAACCTACTTGTTTGACTTCTTAATTGCACTTGCCTCCCTTTCTGTATTCAACCTTTACACTTTGATCCTCTTGAATTTTTGTATTTTCAGTTGAAACCCTGCAAAATGCACATATTACGCATTAACCCTAATAATTTATAACTTAATCATTTTAACCTAATTCACACACACAGTGAACTTTAAAACCTAATTCATTTATGCATGATTTACGGTTAATCAGTCTTCTTCTGGATGATCTGAGAAAGGAGTATCAAACCTATGGAGTAGGGCATATACCTTAAACTAGGGTTTTAACATTTATGTGATTGATTGAACATGTTATGCTTTCGAAAACCTAATTGGTTTGCATACATCCCTGTTATTTGAATGCAATTAGGCTTGGTACAAATAATTGTGGTGGTTCCTGCAACCTTTAGAGTACCAATTCTTCCATCATAAACCATCTTTCAATTACTACATTAGTTCTTTCAAAGTTTTTAGTTGAAAATCATTCATCTGTAGTTGTTTGAATATGAAAGCAGATGAGTTATAGATTTAAGGTAGAAACTCTAATTCAAAGGTGGGACGAATTCTAAAGATTATCCAATTTTTTCATTTATTGAATTTCAATTTAATTAGTACTTAACTCTTAAAATTCTTGAACTCAAAGAACATTTTCATTTTATTTTTCATCACTTTGGATTCCAATTCTTTCCCTGAGTAGACAAGCTTGGACTTTTGTTCAAGTTACTATACAATACCTTTCTTTTACGATTGGGAGCTTTTGTCAAAATACAACCCCTTTGGAGGGTAAGCACCGACTCTCTAGCGTGCCTAGTGTCATCAGGTGTCAGTAAGGAAGAGCAATACATTCCACTAGAACACTTGGCCAAACCTACCATTTGCATGGGAGAAAATGGAACTGAGGTCCTCTAGACAAGCAACAAACCAACTTGGATAGACCCTCACGTTTCCTATCTTAAAAATGGTCACCTACCCAAAGACCATCATAAGGTCTAAAGGTTAACCCTAAGGGTAGACAGATACTCTCTCGTTAATGGAGTCCTCCACCAACGAAGCATGTCATTACCATACCTCCAGTGTCTTGAACCAAGCGAAGCTGAGTATGTACTATTAAATCATATTTCTAATTGACTAATTGTGTTGATTCCATTGTAATATCTCAACCTATTCCATGGTCATGATGCTATCAAGTTAAAGATCCAAAAGTGTTAGTGAAGGGAGGAGATCAAGCGCTGAAGCAACATCATTGAACCTTCGTATGCACCTTCATGCTTAGGACAAAGGTAATGACCTAGACACCTAAGATGAACCCTTAGTTAATTTTAATTTAGGTTGATTAGGATGAAAATGGAATTTTAAGCGATTATATTATGACTCCTTGGTGATTTTAAAATAAAAGATTTTCTAAATCATTTATGAGTTTTGAAAATATAGTTTGAGTCACAATTAGACCTCTCTTTGAGCAACACCCTTTAGTGCTCAAGAGGACAAGTTTGTGTATGGTTTTTTGCTTAAAAACATGTAGGGATTGATATATGCCTGTTAGCCTTTGTTAGAGCTATCTTTTTATGACTTAGGGAAGGAAATGGGAAAAAGCCACGAAAGGTAGCACAAGGCTTGCTCTATAAGCTTCCTCAAGGTGCCCGCCTTAGTCGTGTTTGGAATGTTGTTTTCATTCCAGTGATAGTCGCCCTATGAGTGCCATCCTACTGATCAAGCGATAATTCATGAATCTAATTTTTCTTATTTACTAAGACTACCCTTATTCTAGACCTATAAATAGGAAGAGTCTTTCCCACATCTAGGTTAAGCTTTTTAAGCCTCTAGAGAGATTTTCAAGACAGAATATCATTCTTCTACCTTGAGAGCTTCCATCACAACCTAGATCTCTAAGATCCAAAGGCTACCACTAGAGATTCAACCTAATGCGCATACCAAAGATTGTTGGTGTGCCTATAATCGCTCGAGGTTTAGGCAAACCGTCCAACGAGGAGGTCTAAGTGAAGCTACGTTGGACATTGGAGGAGGGCCTTCGACGGAGAAATAGTAGAGAAATGAGCATCTAACCATGGTATTGGTTGAGGTATAAACCTCGAATACTTGTATGTTGACTTAGTGAGTAGTGAATTAGACTTTGGTGAATCAAAAAAATTCCCCACGATGTTTCCCGAGGAGGGTTTTTCATGTCAAAAAATTACTTGTGTTCTTTATTGTTTATCGTATACACTTGCATTTGTTAGCATGCATGCACACTATACATTTGTTGGAATGATTGATTGAATATCTATCCATACATAGTTGTGCATTGGGTTTGGAGATTTGGGATCGACGTGAGATTGATTGTGAGTGGATAAATTCAAGATTAATTAAATCAATTGTCATGAGCAAGTTGGGTTGTGGTGACTAAAGGGGTTCTCACATTCTTTGCTAAATCTTTGTGGGATGAGATAATTGTGTTGGGTTAGGTTTTTAATTGGTAATCAATTGTGCTTAATTTGAAAAACCTATTCATCCCCTATATGTAAAGTGTCCTGAGTTCCATGTGTGTAATCGTGAGGAAGGATCCACATCGTGTTCCCCCTCCCAAAACAACACGTATTAAAGGAAATTCATGAGTGCATCTGCAACAATCATTCTAGAGCATGAGCTCTAGCACACAAAGTGTTACTCCAAGGCTATTATTGGCCCACAATGACAAAAGAGTCACATGAATTTGTCAAGAGTTGTGACAAGTGCCAAATATTTTCTAACATCCAGCACGCCCCCTAGGTGCTCAACTCAATCTATTATCCATGGCCTTCCTCACAATGAGGAATCAACATTGTGGGGCCACTTCCCTGACGAAAGGTTTATTGTCGATTCATGGTGGTCAACATCAATTATTTTACCAAATTGGTCGAGGCCGAGGCCACAATCACAGACTTCTTTTAGAAGTCCATCATTTTCCAATTCAGGATGCCTTAGACCGTGATTTCTAACAATGCAAAACAATATGAATCAAGGTCATTTCGCAAGTTCTATTCAAACCTTGGGGTTAAAAATCAATATGCCTCTCCTGTCCATCCCTAGTGTAATGGTCAGGTAGAAGTAACCAACTGAATAATCCTCCAAAATATCAAAATAAAGCTTGAAGAGAAAAAGGATTTGTGGGTTGAGAAGCTCCCATAAGTACTCTAGGCCTATCAGAAGACCATCCAAAAATCCACCAGACAAACCCCATTCATGTTAGCATTCAGAATAGATGCAGTCGTAATCACTGAAGTAGATTTGTACACATATCAAACTTAGTATTTTGACCCTAAGAAAAATTCTAAAGGAATAAGGACAAATCTTGATTTCCTTAAGGAAGCAAGAGAACAAGCTGCCCTCTGAATCGCCTCCTACCAACAACAAATTGCTCAATACTACAACAAATGAGTCAAGGAATAGAACCTAAAGGAGGGAGACCACGTGCTAAAAAATAAAAATCTAGGAGCAGTAAAAGGAAACTTGGCCCCGAATTGGGAAGGCCACTATGTGATAGCAAAAGACATTTGGCCAAGCACTTACCAACTCCTAACATTTGAAGGCAAAGAACCACCCCGAACCTAGAACATTGAACACCTTAAGAAGTACTATCCTTAGGGAATTTCAAAATCATATCAATATCTATAAAAATTTCATTTTGATCATGAATGAAAATCCACTTTATTTACACGATGAGATTTTTAAGAGGATAGAGAGATTCAAGGAGACTGACAAGGTTCTCGTTTTCTCTGCCTCTTGAAGACATAGAGACTCAAGGAGACCAACCAAGGTCCTGACTTTCTCTGCCTCCCAAGGATCGACCTCAAGAGGATAGAGAGATTCAAGGACCAAGGTTCTCGCTTTTTCCTTCTCCCGAATACTAACCTCAAGAGGATAGAAAGACTCGAGAGGACCGACCAAGGTCCTCGCTTTCTCTACCCCCCAAGGACTGACCTCTAGAGGATAGAGAGACTCGAGGGGACCGACCAAGGTCCTCATTTTCTCCTTCTCCTGGATACTGACCTCAAGAGGATAGAGAGATTCGAGGAGACCAACCAAGGTCCTTGCCTTCTCCATCAACCGAATGCCAACGTCAAGAAGATAAGAGACTCGAGGAGACTGACCAAGGAACGATCTCCAAGAAATTACTCCCCAACGAAGCCCCTTTGACGAGATGGGAAAGTCTCAGAAAAAGATAAAAGACAACTTTACTTTTGACACATCAGGAGAACAGCCCATGGAAACACGAGGTAGCATTCAAAAAACCAGCTCTAAATACCCAGAGATTACTCTTAAATTGCCTAAGTGAGTTTTCAGAACCAACCCTCTTATCTTTTATCCAAGGCAAAATTGCCCGAGCACTAGGGTAAGGTCTCAAAATCGACACTCATCCTTATTTTCCTCGGGATCAGGAATTAGTTGGATCAAGCTGAAATCAACATCGGGGAATTTCTTGCTTGCCTCTCCATGAAAAGCTTCATGCCCGACCAAGTTATAACCACTAACTACCCCTGATACTCGTCATTATCCTCTTGAAACTTCTTAACTGCCTCTTTCTTCCGATCGACAACACTCTTCCCTCTCTCCTCTAACTTTTGAGTGAATTTAGAGGCCTTCCCTTTAGCTAGGTGACACGATCCATCCCTCCTAACAAAGGCTTGGAGAACTTCTTAGCATGAGCAGTAGAGTCAAACGCTTTCTTCTCAAAAGTCGTATTTTCCTTCAAGGCCCACCTAAGGCTATTCTCCTTTAGAGTGAACTCAAAATTCCAAAGTCGAGCCACCAAATTCAAAGTTGTATGGTTCCCCACAAAAGAGCGAGGAAAAGATATCAATGAGCTACAAAAAGGGAGAAGCCTTCTTAAGAAAATATTACAAGAAAAGAAGTGGAAGAAATGATGGCACAAACCTCGACCATCTTCTCACAAGCTTGAGCATGGACTTCTGAAGGACCCAACTTTTGAGGCCTTTCCATCGCCGCCTTAGTAAGTCAGCTCTACACCCAAGTGACTAGGGAATCGGCCCGAGTAGTGGGCAAGATGACCTGTATCTTAGAGGCATTTCATGGTGCTTCAAGATGCCCAAACCCTTGTTGGCCCAAATTAAACCTAAGAGGGGTTGAATTAGGTTGTCTAAGTTAATAACTAATTTTGGCTTTCTTTAATTCATACTAATTATGCAATATAAATGATTGTCTAATTAACAAGAAAAAGTTTATGATAAGTAATGCACTATGGATGATGCAATTAAGAAGTAGAGAATAAGAAGAACAAACAAGCTTTATAGATGTTTAGCCCCAACCATGATGGCCTACATCTTCTTTTTTCCTTCTCCACAGAGCTTCTCTTTCACTTTCTCGGTCTCCTTCAACAGATCAAGATCAAACACCTTACAAGCCTCATCTTCTTTGATAGGTGAATAAGCACCTTTACAATTTCAAGCACAATAGATTCACTTTCAAGCTCCCTTGATACAACAATATTCTCCTCTCTTTACAATGAAAAATCACTCAAATAAAATCTAAGAGAGAGAAATCACAATTGGACTTGTAGCCAAGATCTCACAATAATGATCTTTCCTTGATGTGTATATCACTCTTAGAATGCTCAAGAAGTCCCCAAGAACTCTCCAAAGAATGTTGCTTCAATAAGCCTCACATTGGTCTTTTATAGTGGAAGCAAATGGACAAGTAAATGGCCCCAAAAGCTAGCCGTTAGAGCCCCAATGGCTACATTTGGAATGTTGTCCAGCAGACCGGATGACAATCTAGAAGGCATTCAAAAATTTCTATCAAAGTCTGAAATGCTATTTGGTGGGCATGTTTGGTCGATCGCTTCCTCTATCTAGCATGCCGAATCCTCCATCCGGTAGATTGGATCCCTCATCTAGTAGACCGAATCCAGCATTGCTCTATGCACTTCTATCAACTTCCAATGAGATTTTTTGACCCAAGTTCGAATAAGACGAAACCTATTGTAGACAAAGTCAACCTATCAACAACTCTCAACTTTCAATTCAACTGCTTTAGCAATACTCATTCTCTTCATTTATTTTCAAAGTCAATCATCCAAGTGAGCATTTAACCTTTGCACATCTTCTCCTTTGGTTCTTTATATTTGGTGAAGCACATTTTCCATCACACCACATCTTGTGTCATGCAATACTTTCAACCAAACTCACAAGAAGATGATTGGTAATACAAGAGTGTTTGTTATCATCAAAATCTTGCTTAACCAAGCATAGGGTCAACAACTCACAGAAAAAATGGACCCTCCTATTTTTGAGAAAGATCCATTATGGGGTTCGGGACATCACCAGCAGCCTTCTGACTGATCGTGTCATGTATCTCGTTGACATATGGCTCATCCAAATAGATCATAGAGATTGAGGGAAGTTATCTCCCTTTCTGAAGCTTGAACTTCTTTTGTGGGGGCAGGTCCCCTTTGGCAACTATTGACTTGGCCTTCAAAATGACCAAAGATTTCTTGTCCAAAGGAAGGTCAAAGGACTCTTCCAGATCTCCAAACACATTGATATTTTTTTTAAAAAATTAATAAATAATAATAATAAAATAGTTTTTAACAAGCTTACTTTTGTCTTTTGCCATTAAAACTCTGAAGTCATGACAAGGGTAATTCTCAGCTCGCCTCACCTGGTCGAGCAATTCAGCGAAAATGTGAAGACGAGGAAGGCACCTATGAGGAATAATCACGAAAGAGAAATCAAAGAAAGAATGAGATGTGGAGAAAGAGAACTCACTAGATGGGTCCAAAGTACCCTAGACCCTAGGCACCCCTTGCTCCTTCTACAGAGGGTCATTCACCTGGCTTGAACTCCCAATCCCCATACATGAAGAAAAATCAGGCTTTCCAATCTTTGTTGGAATTTGGAAGCCTCAAAATGATCTTGGAAACAGTATTGTGGGTACTAAAGTAGAAGAACCCTTTCTGACTACACTCCTTCACCTTCAAGCAAAGCACAAATTCTTCCAACGAAACAGAATGATGACCCTTACTACTTAAGTGCCAAAGAGCCATCAAACCTGCCAGCGTTTTTCACGCATTTGGAACGAACTGACAAGGGAACAACCCGAGCTAATAAAGTACCAGCCTAACAAAAGAAGGGGTAGGAAACCTAATGCTGGCATTTAAGGCCGATTCGGGAAACATACCTCCCCATCAGATAACTAACAGGCTCGCTCATGTGGTAATGGCAACCTAAGTCAAACACCATCATGAATTTCAAACTTATACCTTAAACCTAATAAACTCCTCTCCAATAGACTACACTTTACTCGCAGGCTTCCCAAAGCGAAGCCTTGCCAAATATAGAGGAATAAGAGGCCTCTAAGACTGGTGCCCTCCTATACCATACCAATTCCCACCTGTTAAGTTTATTCCTTGAGAGGAACGCTTCTTAGGATGCTTCAACTTCTCAACTCGGTCCTGCGGGTCGTCCAAAGAAATTAACAACCTTAGGCATCACACCCCATCTCGAGAAAACCCCTTGGTTTCCCATAGACGGAAGCGCAACTCAACATGTGGCAATACTTGCGTCTGTAATGCATTAATACTTTTTAAAAAAATAAAGCCACCTAATAAAACCATTAAATAAATAACTATTTAACAGAGTATACAACAGTGTCACTTATACCAAAAAGATTTGGGATTTCATCCCTTTACAATAATAGGAAAAACAAACACTCCTGTACAATATGTACATAAATCAGCTTCCTTAATTTTCTCTCATCTCTACCATGCAAATGTAGTAGTGGACCTTACTCTAGACTGTGGCATCTTAAAACCAATAATTTTCTTGAGTGTATCAAACATCATAATCAAAGGAAATATAACAAAAATATGGATGAAATATATTTCCATAAAAAAGATACTCATAACTCATAAATCACCACCAAAATGAACTCAACTAACTTTAAAACTCAAATCAACCTCATATATCAAAATAATAATAATTCACATAAGCAACAAGTCAAACAACAACCTATAAGCAATGTCAAACTATCCATAATATTTAAGCAATGCCAAGCTATCTTCAATATTTAAGCAATGACAAGTTATCTCAAAACAATTACGCAATATCAAAATCAACAACATGTAAGTCATGTCAAGCTATCAATAACTCGGCACGGTGGATAATACGCAAATCATAAGCTTTTTATAAAAGCACATTTAATCCATAATTTAATCAACTCACCTTAAATCAACTCGGCAAAATTGATTTCTCACATACAAAAAAATAAATTTGATATATCATATACTTTTATTTCCATTTGTTATAAAACATTACACTCTCACCTTACCACCGACAGATACCCCTCCTTACTTTACCATCGATCCCTAGGTATAACCAAGGTAGTAGTCTCCGACCCTAACAATTAGCATATGTGCAAATGCAATTGAACATCGACTCTAAAAAGACTCAATTGATGCAAACGAATGCATATAAATATACTTCATGGTGTTTCGTATGTATTATAACTTAATCTTCACAAACGTTTGATTGATAGTTAAAATGGTTGATCAATCGATGTTATCGTCCTAATCAACGACTAAGCGAAGTCACCATAGGTAAATAGTTATCAATAACTTCATTCACTTCTTACCTTTATTCCATATTATGTTTAATACAATTTAATTGAGTCTCTTTAGCCCCATTTCTAGTCCTTCCCTCAGCTTAATCATTTCATCGAACATTAACATGCGTTAAAGTGTTTATACGATCATCAGGGGAACTTAATTAAAATAGGATTCTATCCTCACTAAATTAGAAAGAAATTAAGTTAATTATATAGTAGTTTTCCTAAGATTTTCAATCATAGGTCATGAGCTAAAATCGAAGTTCATGTGAAGAGTTCTGTTCATTTGTTTGTAAAGATACTAAGCTAATTTGTAAGGTCTGTAGGACAAGCCTCAAATTTTTTTCATATTCTTCTCTACTATAAGAATACACCAAAATATCATAAATGGAAACAATTACAAACGAATCTAGGTAAGGTTGAAATAGCCGATTCATTAAGTCCATAAAGGCAGTTGTCGCATTTGTCAAATCAAATGGCATCACCAGAAATTCAAAATGACCATACCTGGTTCAAAAAGTAGTCTTTAAAACATCATTACTCCTTAATTTTTGTGAGACCCGATCAAGCATTGCATTCATATTAGCATAATTATGTGAGCTAAATTGCAATTATGTGAAATTATTAAAGGGTTAATTGAAGAAAACCCTTCATAGCCATGATGTGTGTGAGCATACATTGAGCATGTGGACTGCATTAATGAAGTATTAGTAAGATCCATTTATAAAATTTCATGTGTGAAAATAGTAGTGGGTTGATTTTGAAATCACTTAAGAACTTGGGGGAGGCAAGCACAATTAACCAAAAAGGATGAGTCATCCTTACATGTGTAGTATTAGTAAAGTGCATGTGTTAAACTCAAAGCCAAGTGTATGTGTGTTGTGTATGCCATGTGTGTGTGTGTTTTAAGGTGTAGAGTGTGTGTGTGTGTAATGTAAAGCTTAAAAGTGTGTGTGTGTTTAAAACATAAAATCAATGTGTGTGTGTGTGTTCTTCTTGGCTGAAAACTGAGAGTGAGGGAGACTGAACAAAAAAGAGAAAAAAATATGTGTGTTTCCTTTAAACCGAGAACAAGGAGGAAGAGAGGGAGAGAGAAATAATCTTGGTGGGTGCTCCTAGTCCAAACCAAGAGGGGGGAAGAAAGAATGAGAAAGGGAAGGACTTGGGGAGCTTCCATGCCAAACCAAAAGTGAGAGAAAACAAGAAGAAGGTGAAGGTAAGAGTGTGTGTATGTGTGATTAAAATTTAAGCATGTGTGTGTGTTATGTGTGGGCTGTTTTATTTTACTTTAATGGGCTTTTTTATTTTAATTTCAAAAAAGATTTTTTTGAGTCTAATTAAGTGTGTTGAAAATAATTTAGGGGCTTTTAAGAATGGGT